AACTATTACTTTTTTTCTTTTTTTTTAAGGATTAATTCAAAATGGAGAATTAAAATATAATAGAAATCAAAATTTATTTTCTTTACGTAAACACTTCAGTGGTGCGGTGCGGCGTGGTGGGAAAAGTTGGAGGTGGGGGAAGTAAAATAAAAAATTCACTTCCGTTATATATTTTTTCAAGGTCACAAATCTGAGATCATTGGCTTACTAAATCTTACAAAATGTGCGTATCGTAAAAAGTGTTTAGATAAGATACTAATTTTTGCTTGAAGAACAAAAACACATACAGATATATACACACGATAAAGAAATTTTTCGTGGACACAATTTCTCTCAACACATGCCCTCCGAAAAAAATCTATCCTCCCACTACTCTAAATAAACTGTGGCTGACAAGAGCTACCAACGATAAGAGCTCATGTTATTTTCTTTAAAGTGGCTATATATATATGTAGTGTGTGTGTGTAAAAATTATCAGGAAGTAAATTCATATATATAAGGAAATCCACAAAAAATATCCCGTTTTTGTCCCCCATTTTATTAAAAAAAATTTTTTTGAGGCACACCCTTAAAACTGAGCTTTTTTACTCGTAGTGTAATGTACTATAATGAAAAAGTTTTGAACACGAGGTTTAGTGAGGGTGACACCCTTTTTCCGTGATTAACATGTTACAATTATATCTTCATGCATGTGTGATAACTATAGATATAATTCTAACACGTACATCACAGAAAAAGGGTATCACTCTCACTAAAATCCATGTTCAAAATTTTTCCCTTATAGTGCATTGGATTACCAGAAAAATGAGCCCTATTTTGAAGGTGTGCCTCAAAAAAATTTTTAGAACGAAGTTCTTTATGTCGCATACTGGGTGGGCTGGAATTTTAAAAACGACAGATTGTATGAAACGGAAGTCGCTTATCAGAAGTCTTTTCCTCCTAAGTTTCCCCCCATACCCCGTCACCCTCACCATCAGTCCCCTAGACACTTTCTCTCATCATCCTATGTCTTCCAACCGTGATTCACTATCCTCCTTTACACCTCCGCCCGCCATTTCCCTTCACACTCCCAAGCGATTAATTTTCCAACAAATTTAAACTTTCTTTTCCCACAGTAGTTTTTGACTTTGAATTTTTTTTTTCTACAATTCTAAAAAAAAAAAAAAACACTTGGCAGCAAAGAGATGTGTACCCTCGACCTCCTGCATACGAGTCAAGTATCTTACCCACTCTGCTACGAGCGCTGTCGACTATGAGATTTCGGTTTTCTTGTACTAATCGTGTGGTTTGTAACTTATTTTTTATTTTTACATGCATTCACTGATAATACATTCAATCAATGGTAAATTATTAATTGAATTGATTAATTATTTATTTAGTTATTTATTAAAACGGATATCTTTATGTCACGTGCTTGGGGGGCTGGAATTTTAAAAACGACAGATTTCCATAAAACAGAAGTCGCTTACTAGAAGTTTCTTCTGTCTAAAAAAAATTTTTTTGAGGCACACCCTTAAAACTGAGCTTTTTTACTCGTAGTGTAATGTACTATAATGAAAAAGTTTTGAACAGTTGTGTCCTTCCGTGGTTATTGCTCGGCGTCTTGATTCGGTAACGCTCGAGTCCGTTGGTAACGTCCGACCCTCTTGATAGCGATCGACTGCCGAAGGCTGAGAGCGCGAATTAATTCCCAAATGCGTGAATGCCCGACTATCGCGATTTGAGGCTCACTGGGCCTTATATTATCTTGTTTCCTATCTGTCGATGCCTTCTTGCTAAAGTAGCCTCGCTGTTACTAGGGAGAGTCGTGCCTTGCATATCGTACGTTACAAGAGATTCGTTTTGATATTTTCGACACATAGCTACATTTTTCTAGCACTCATCGGATTATTTGAATCGTTAATTTTNTTTGAATTTGACAAACAAATAAAGGCAAAATGTGATTAAATAATTATTTAAAAACTAGCAGCCCCCCGTCTTGGCTTCGCCCGAGACTTACTAAATGGAACACCGTAGTGTGTTGACATGTAATGTGAAACATTTTCAGTTAAAAATTTGACATTTATTCCTGACACTTCTCATAACAAAAATCTTCTTATTAAAAACGTAGTTGTTCGCAATCCATACAGTTTATTTGGTCAAATAATGAGCTGTAAAAATTAAAAAATAATAACCATGCTGAAAAGTACCGTGCGTTCCTCATGCCATAAAATAATCGTTGGCCATAAGAAGCGGTTGATCTGCAGTTTCTTCTGTATAATTTACAAAAAGGGCTATTTTTAAAGCTGTTAAGATTTTAAACTCCTAAAAAATACATATTAAAATAGATTTTTTTTCTCTTATCTCACAACCTTCTTTTCAGAGCAACAAAGTCCTGAAGCTTAATCTCTACATTTTTTATCACCACAAAAACACAAATATATTTTCTACCTATTTAAAAATTTAATTTAGTTCTTTAAAGATTCAAGAAATTACTGTGAGGGTAAAATGAAAAGCTGATCTCTCACGTAATGGATTCTTTATGTGGCGATTTTGGCTGTTTCAATATTAATAAATTTTCTGCGTCAGTTTCTTGACGCCTCAAATTGTATTCATTAGATACATTTGAAGTTTTCTTTTCAATGTACCCTGTTGCGACTATTTGTATACTTACGACTTTTGTGACCCCTAAAGGCTGTTTTCTGTCAACTTATTAAGTTCTAATATATTTTTTGGCAAAGTAATTCAACGTCAGATGGCCCTAAAAAAGACCGATAAGCTTAGTAAGTATACTCTTTCTCGACTGAAGTTAACAACAATTGTGACTGCCTGGATACCTGAGGGTGATCTTCTCTGGCCTGATTTTGAAGCCCCAGACTGATTGAGAGAAGAATTACTAAGTCCATAGCTTTGGGGCTAGTTGTAGTGCTCTTTCCTAACGTCTCCTGGTATAACGTCAAAAACGTTGGTGTCTAAAGCACTTTTTTTTTGCAGACTCAGTTATTTTGTTGATCTAAGATGGAGAGATTAGTAGAGATTGGTTCGTAATGCTTGCCCGTTGGAGACTCCCGTTGGCTCAAGTTTTTTTTCCTTCATAGCTGTTAGGTTCACCCAGCGCAGACCTTGGAGAGGATCGGTGATTCCTGGTTGAATGGTTAGAGTTGAGAGGGTAACATAGGGTCGTCAGTCACCATAGTTCCCAGCCTTGCGACGAATAACTCTGCTCGTGATGTCTGCCAGTTAATGACTGACTTGGTTTAATAGTGGCCGTCTTTATATATATAGTCTTTTAGTCGACGAATCGCTTCCGGAAATGGTAGTAAAAATATATTTGTTGGCAAGGTAGTTTACACTTAGGTGGCCCCTAAAAAAAATCGATGAGATTGATGGTTAAGTAGAAAACGTAAATGCTTACATTGGCCCGGAAAAGGGCCAGTGGTACAATTTCCAGTCATTCCCTATTATTATTCTTGATGATAGAGAGCCAGCTGCGGGTAGCTTGACTCTTACTCTTGGAGTCTCTGTGGACGGAGACCGTACATGAGAGAGGTACACCGCTGATAAAAAAATATCTCATCTTTGGGTTGTTCTCCGGATCACCAACCACTCATTGTTAGTCGGGGAAATGTGGGGATGCTGTTGGGGACACGACCAATAAGAAGGAAGCCGTTATGGCCACCCATGCCCCTCAGGACTGTTTTCCCTGGCTTACATTTATAGTATAAACTTATCTGACGGCACCAGGCCAGATTGTGGTACGGCCACATAACTCTGAAGGGTTGGAGCAGGATATGTTCTGGCTAGACACGTCTCATGGTACTCTCCCAGAGACGTCATCGGTTAAAATAAATTTTTTATTGGTGGCACTCGTCAATCCCGGAAGTTCAGGGTGATAGTAGACGTAGATCACTTGCCCACTGGAGAAGAGCGTCGTCGGTAACCAAGATGCCCAGCTGCACGTCTATCATGTACATTCTCGATGCAGCTCGATGAACTGCCGGAGAATGACTGTATTTTTCTTTGAGACGCTCTGGCGTATTTTAACCACACTTATTTAATTCTGTTGCAGGTAGCTTCGATTTTATATCGAGGCCACCTAGCGGATCCTACTGAACTAAAGTGAAAAGCTGGCGTATTTTTGTAAAACTTTAAGCTTATTTATTGGTATTGTTATTCAATTTTTCAAGATAAAAACTATACTTAAACCATCTAGGAAGTGTCAAGAATCGGTATGCAAAATTTCAGCAAAATTGGTTCCGTAGTTTTCGCGGTTAGCGATTACAACGGTCTTACCGACATTGCTTTATTTATTAGTAAGATAAAAAAAATTGTATTAATTGGCTTTACAATTGCAAAAAATAAATAAGAAAAAAAAGATTGGAAAAAAATTTATGTACAGAACTTAAATTAAAACAATTTAAACGAAGAGCGATGATAAACAATTAAAAACATAAATAAAAAAAAGGATTATATCAAAACAAAAACATTCAATGACCAAAAAA